AGGTGGACCACCCGCCTCTGGGTCAGAAGGTGCTGCCCGGTTCCTATTCGCACGAGGCTCTGGGGAAACAGCCAGGAGCTTCTTCTCTCCGGCAGCAGGATCCTCTGGCTCAGTGGGTGCTCCAGCTCCAGCAGGCAGGAGGAGGTCTTCAGGGGAAGAGGTCCCAGAGGTGTCAGCGCCGCTGCTGGGCTTTGGACTGGGGAGTTCAGGGACAGCTTTGGTCTGAAGGAGCTGCAGCTCTGTGCCTCCAGGCTCATTCACAGATGTCTGCGGTCGCGCAGCCTGGCCGGGGCTGGAATCCCCCGCAGCCGTCCGCAGCTTTGTCCACCAGACGAAGGGGAACTTCTCCTTGCTAGGAGCGACGTAAACCCTGGAGGCCTGGCTCAGCTGGCCCCACCAGCCACTGAAGCCAGCCCCGGCGTCCTGAGGGCCTGCCTCGGGCCTGTGGGGCTCCGGGGAGCTCTCCGCTCCCAGGAAAGTGCGACCGAGCTGGTCACCCCAGCGCAGCACATGCTGGAAGGTCTGCTGCAGGGCAGCCCCCACCTGGGAGCCAGGGACCAGCCCGCGCACAGCTGCTGGGGACTGGGACCTCGTGCTGCCCTCCGCACCGGCTGCCCTCCCCAGAGCATCGGGGGGGATCTCGTCTTCCAGGCTCGCCCCCGCAGCGCTGCTTCGGCCCTCCAGAGAAGGCTGCACAGCCCCCTGAGCCTGAGCAGGGTGATGGGCAGGAGACAGGGGGGACTCCAGCCGACGGGACAAGGGTCTTACATCCACGGAGAGGTGGTGGTGTTCAAAGAGCAGGTCAAGGTGGAAAGTCAGCACTGAGAGGGGCTGGATGAGCAGCAGCAGTTCATCGGCGAGGTGGGGAAGAGGGCCCTGGCTCAGGGCAAAGAAGGCCGTGGGTGAATACAGCACGGAGATCACACCTACGAGACATGGACGGCTGCCGAAGGCCCTGCCCTCGCCCACACACCCCTCCCAGGGCCAGCGGGTCTGTCCCAGCAGGTCAGACGAGCTTGTGCTGAGAGTCGTATTGAAGATGCACCACGGAAAACAGTGCCCTTATCCACTATGGAAAACCCAGCCAAGCATTGTGGGTGGAACGGGTATGGAATTACCACCCTGGCAAGCAGGGGAGGACTTGGGTGGGGAGCTCGCAGGCACTGTGTCCTTACCTGGGCTCTTCTGCAGGTGAGAGATCCACAGCTCCAGCTGCTTAATGCTAACCAAGACAAAGGGGACGCAAGTTAGAGCTCTTGGGACTCTGTTCCAACCAGGCAAGGACAGCCTGGGCCAATACTCACTTCAAAAGGCCGAGGATAAAGGCATGAAACTTCTGTCTGGTGCTGTTGAGGGGGGCCAGCCCAGCCACATGCCAGCACAGGGACTGGAGAGAGCGGGTGTTGGGGCCTGCAGAGCACACGACACCGTCACTGCTCTGGGTGCGCATCTGCCCCCAGCCCGGGCTCGAAAAGGACTCCGGGCACCTCGAGATGCCAGCGTCTCCAGGAGCACGTTCCTCCTGCTGACCTGTCTTCACAGAGGCTTCCACCACGCTCCAGGGGGAACTTTTCCTTTGGCCTGTGATAACATCCTTCTGGAAGGGCTTCAGCCCATCCTCCACCAAGGCATAGAGCGCTGGGCAGAGGGTGTGCAGCAGCAGGTAACCCACGTCTGGGCTGAGCCGGCTGTCGCCCAGCTGGGCCTGAAGTAGGGAGGGACAAGGAGAGGAGAGGGAGGGGAACGGCAGCAGGAACCCTGAGCCTGCAGGGAGGGACGGTGGGATCCTCCCCCTGGAGCTCCCAAAGGCCCTCCTGCCCTCACTCCTGCCCACCCCAGCCTGGCCACAGCCTCAGCCCAGACCCTCACCTTCTGCACCAGGTTCCGGGCGGTGCTGAAGTGGGCGATAACCTTATCCACGGCGGTGCTGACGGCAATCAGCAGGGCTGTTGGACAACGGACGGGAAGGTGTCAGCATGGCACCCGACCCCCGCACACACACCGCTGCAGCACCTGCCTCA